AGCAAAACAAGTTCTCTGAAAGATCAGTATTCTGCACTCCTTGGAAGCATTACAAACCAGTTCTAAGAACCTGATTCATAGTTTCTTCACAGTTTATCTTCCTACCATTCATTCAATACTCTACAGCTACTTCCTGCAAAGCATCGCACAATGTAATGGTTCAGGACGAAAACCTCCTGGCTCCATTTTTGGAAAGGTTACAGAGATACACAAATACTTCTTCATTTGCCTTGGAAAAGGCAAAGCTCAAGTTCTGAGCTCCTAATCTTCACTATAATCCAACTGCTATGTTCTTGGCTCACACACCAGTAAACATCTGCAGTCATCTCTGGAAATTCAGCCTCAGTTACTCTCATTGAGGTTGAAGTGCTCAGACCTGCCTGCAGAGGAAAAGCACCTCTCTGCTCTCGTCTCAATCACCACAACTCCTGAAGGCGGCACAAGGGCCAGGCTGTAATACCACAAACTGCACAGTAACCCTTTTGCCTCCTTAGCCTGGGAGAAAGCTCGCTCTATTTCATTCATTTCCAGTAAGAAACAAGATAAAAAAGGGAAGGAAAGGCCAGAGAGGTGACCCAAGATGCCACAGCTTTCTCACTGCCAAAAAGGAGAAGCTTTAGAGTTATTATTACCACTATTTCATGTCTTTATAGGAAGAAGCTTTTCCATGGAGTGAATTCAATGTGACAGGAAAGTCTCTAAGCTCTGAGAGACAAACAAGGGCTGGGACTTGGTTCTGGGAGTTGCTGATTCTTCAAGAGATGCTTTGTATTGCTGCAAACAAAGCGTGTCGCAGCTTGTAACAATCCATCTCTGCCACAAAGGTACCGAAGTCGTGTCCCCAGAAGGAATACTCCAGTGTTTCCAGTTGCAGGAAAGCACAAACCGGAACTGACCTGAATGGCTGAGGCACTGGAGAGCCTCTGTGTGCTCCAGGGCCTGCAGGAACTGCATGAGCTCCACCACAGTGCAGCCACGATCTCCCAGGAGCTTGAGGAGACTCCAACTGGGACTTCCTTCTGGCTCCAGCACTTTGAGGGAACACTGCTCCAAATCCAGAGGGCTGCAAAGTAAGGGGAGAAAGACACGTAACAGACCTCTTTAGTGCTTCTTCCTCACAAAGGAGCAGAGTGAAACCCACAGGTGGGAAATTCCCAGTTGGTCTGAAGGTATCTGCAGTATTTCCTGCAAGCTCTGGGAGTTCAGCAACACCTCCACAGACTGAGGGCGGTATTAGTGAGCCGCGTGCTGCAAGTGATGCTTGCACCTAACAGTTCTGACCCAGTGTACTGAGAGATCTTCACTTTTTCACTTCTGACAGCACAAAAACGAGAGCAGCACCTTTCACTCTCATGTGCCTAATTCAGAAGCAGTAAAGAGTGAGTTAGAAACCAACTTGAAAGCCCAGGAAGACTTTGATTTTCAGAGAAGTTATTAAAACAAGCGACTGCTGCAGCTTAACTGATACACAGAGTGCAGTTATCTGCTTCCACACGTTCCTCTCTGGGTATAAATATGCAGAGTCTGGAATCTGGGTGTTAAGCCTTCTTTCAATCAGAGCAGATTAAAATAGCACAGGTAATAAGGACATGAATAAAGCTATAGAAGGGAATGCCAGTTTATGTATTCCCACATTAATCAATGTTTCTTGCATTGGCTCACATGGAGATGAGAGATTTCCACTTACCAAGCACTTCATTGTATTTCACTAGGTAATACAGGAACACACAGCCCCAGGCCTCACAGAGGGGTCGGGTTGTAGCCCTCGGGTTCTACTTCTCTATATTAACAAATACAGTTGTAACAGAGGAAGGACACAGCGTATATCCAGCGCTGCACTTGAAACACCTCATGGTTTTGAGGTACCACCCTCTAAACCAAACCCGAAAAGCCACGGGAAGCGACCTACAGAATGCGACCTGGGAAGAAGGAGCTGAAGAGAATGGACGTGTTCTCTGTCCGGCTGCCTTCCCGCGGAGGGACAGGGATGCTTCCCAGCTCCAAGAGGGCAAAGCAGGATGCTACGCTGCTCCTACTCTGCTATTTCTTCACTGGAAGCCCTCCATCAAACACCTCCCAGGGACGGGCCATGACTTTACCTCGCATCCCCTCCACCCCCCCCCTTGCCCAGCGCCGGTCAAGGATGCTCCCGCTGCCGCAGGATGGAGGTCTGGGGCTCTGCGAGGGACAGCACGGCCCGGACAGCCACGGTCCCGGGCAGCAGCGGCAGCAGCCGCCGTTCCTCGCCCGAGCACAGCCCCACAGGCACCGGGCAGCAGAGCCCTGCCCCGGGCGGCCGCATCACCCACGGCCCTGCTGCTTTCGGCTCCGGAGGGACCCCGCGGCTTCCCCGCCCGGCCCGGCCCCCTCACCTCAGCCGGACCCTGCCGCTGCTCCCCGCCCGCTGCGCCAGGTCCCGCCAGCCCTTGCCGGGCGCCGCTCGGTCCAGGAGCTCGCTGAGCCTGCGGAGCAGCGGCGGGGCCAGGCCGCTGAGGGGCAGCGAGCCCCGGCCCGGCTCCGCCATCGCCGCCGCCGCCGCCGCCTCCGCCTCCGCCTCCGCCCGCCCGGAAGGCCCCGCCGCGCGCAGCCGCCACGCGCCGCGCCGCTTCCCGCCCTTTCCTGAGGGGAGCCCCGGAGTGGGGAAGGCGGCCGGGGGTGGTGCGAGGGAACCGGGGATGGTGCGAGGGAACCGGGCCGGGGATGGTGCGAGGGAACCGGGGGTGGTGCGAGGGAACCGGGCCGGGGATGGTGCGAGGGAACCGGGGATGGTGCGAGGGAACCGGGGATGGTGCGAGGGAACCGGGGATGGTGCGAGGGAACCGGGCCGGGGTGGTGCGAGGGAACCGGGGATGGTGCGAGGGAACCGGGGATGGTGCTGAGGGAACCGGGGATGGTGCGAGGGAACCGGGCCGGGATGGTGCGAGGGAACCGGGGATGGTGCGAGGGAACCGGGCCGGGGTGGTGCGAGGGAACCGGGGGTGGTGCGAGGGAACCGGGGATGGTGCGAGGGAACCGGGCCGGGGATGGTGCGAGGGAACCGGGGATGGTGCGAGGGAACTGGGGATGGTGCGAGGGAACCGGGCCGGGATGGTGCGAGGGAACCGGGGATGGTGCGAGGGAACCGGGGATGGTGCGAGGGAACCGGGCCGGGGATGGTGCGAGGGAACCGGGGATGGTGCGAGGGAACCGGGCCGGGATGGTGCGAGGGAACCGGGGATGGTGCGAGGGAACCGGGGATGGTGCGAGGGAACCGGGCCGGGATGGTGCGAGGGAACCGGGGATGGTGCGAGGGAACCGGGGATGGTGCGAGGGAACCGGGCCGGGATGGTGCGAGGGAACCGGGCCGGGGATGGTGCGAGGGAACCGGGGATGGTGCGAGGGAACCGGGCCGGGATGGTGCGAGGGAACCGGGGATGGTGCGAGGGAACCGGGGATGGTGCAAGGGAACCGGGCCGGGGATGGTGCAAGGGAACCGGGCCGGGATGGTGCGAGGGAACCGGGCCGGGGATGGTGCGAGGGAACCGGGGATGGTGCGAGGGAACCGGGCCGGGATGGTGCGAGGGAACCGGGGGTGGTGCGAGGGAACCGGGGATGGTGCGAGGGAACCGGGGGTGGTGCGAGGGAACCGGGCCGGGATGGTGCGAGGGAACCGGGCCGGGGATGGTGCGAGGGAACCGGGGATGGTGCGAGGGAACCGGGCCGGGATGGGGTTCCCCGGTCTGAACGGGGGCCGTTGGAGGTGTGACCGGAGGGCAAACCGCGGGGCGGGATGTGGCCAGAGAGCGGGGCCAGGAGGGGGCACAGCAGGCAGGAATGGTGCCGCAGCGGGGCAGGAGAGACGGCTTCCACCGCAGCCGTGGGCCCCTCTGCGGCGCCGCTTCGCCGCCTGCTGTCGTTCGCAGGCGAACAAGTGCCCAGCTTCAAGGGTCACAGCCTTGAAGTGTCTCCCGTTGAGGTAAAGGACGTGCGGCTTGGGAAGGGTCTCCCAAGGAGTCGTTCTGCTCCATCGCTCCTCAGGGACCCATGAGCACAGCCGTGATCTCAGGGGGATTCTCGCTCTCCGCATTTACAGCTTGCCCAAAGTGCCTCAGGAGGTAACGTTACCAGCGGTTTGATCGGTGATGAAGCACTCAAATGTGGCTGCCTGTGTTGCTGAAGTGGTTTTCACGTGTCTCATGGGGCACTGCCCCACTCAGAGCAGGCTTTGTGCACCTGCCAGGCTAGCACCAGTCCTGAGCTCTGTGCGGTCCAGAATCGATGAGCAACAAGCCCTGTAGTTAGACTTACCCTGATGAAATTGATGCCACTGAGTGTCAACTGTCTATTTCTCATCATTTCAATGCACAGCCCATGCAGGTGTGGGTGACAGTGAAACTGACTTCATTGTGATACACAACAGGTACCCGCAGCAGCGGACGGCTCAGCCCCTGGGAAACCAGGCAGGAAGGAGCCGTTCACCCCCCTCGGCCGGGTCTGTGCTTTGTGGGTGTCTTCCTGCAGCACCAAGCAGTTAAACTGCCTCCCGGTGACCACGGGTTTTAACCCTGGGCTCCCATTCCAGTGGGGATTATTTTGAGGCTATTACATAAAACACAGATATCCCTGCTGCTATTCCTGAATGAGGTGCTGTGTTTATTGCAGAACACACCGCTTTCCTATCTGCGTCTAGATAACAGTGGGAGCAACAAGTATTTAGCACAGTAGGCTCTCATAACCACTTTTAGCTGTGCTTTCAGCTGCAAGAATGTCACAAAACTTGCTTTTCAGCCTTTTCTTGTGCTCAGAGCAGTCTGTGCAATTCATTCAAGTTCCTCCTGTGTGAGACTTGGGGAACTTTCTGACCGCAGGATTCACTCACCTTTGAGGCATGAGGTGGATTTTTATGAAGCGGTTGGTAAAAGCTCACTCTCCACCTTAGTTCTTCAAGTGCTTGTTAGGGATTGCAGTTGCTCCTGGTCAGCAGAGCTTTGGTGTGCTTAACTGCAAGCGAGAGATTCCCAGCGCAGTTAAGCACACTGAAAAACACCCCGGTGCTTTATTCTGCAAAGCTAAGGCCAACACTTCCTCTCTTTCAAGGCCATGAGGAAATTCCCCTGGACTTCTATGGAAGTAGGATGTGCCATCCCATCCCTGCCAGCTCTCCCTCTGCCTGGCAGCGGTTTTCCCAGGAACAGCCATCTGCTGCATGTAACGAAATAGTCTCTCTTAAAAGTCAACCTGTTCTGTAAGCAGACTCTCTACACTAAGGTCACACAACACTGAAGCTCCCAGCCAGCTTCTGAGCTCTGAGACAACGTGCACCACTTTAACGTCTTTTGTCTTATAGCACGGATGAAACCGCAGGCCTGGCCTGCTTGTAGAGCTTAAAGGAAGAGCACTTGGGTAAGTGCACGTCTGTGCTTTGAGAGGTCAGGTTGTTTCTGGTTTTCAGAGTACTTGTCTGCTTGTTCTCCTGCGTGCGGGTCGACTGTGTATTGTGGAAGAAAAATAAATGAAGAAGAGCAAGTTGCTTTATTCTTAATGCATTACATGATTGCAGTGATTTGTTTCGTGATTGCACGGGAAATAGGAGTTCTGATGTGCTTCTGCTAAAGTATGGTCGTTTTTGCTCAACTTGAGAGATTGTTGTTTCTAAACACACTGCCTTCAGAATTCTTCTGACTGTTTTGAAATGCGACGCTGGCACTATGTCCACTGAGCGTCAGGAGGACAAAACTTGTGTGAAAGCAAGCTTCTTGCTCTAAAGAATGTGTAAGTGATGCAAGGCATCCTGAAGTTCACTTCCTAAATCCATATTGCATGGCCTAAGCCTTATCAGGTAAGGATTTCCTCCGTTCCTGAGGAAAAACCTGGTTGCTTGGGATTCTTGGCTGCATGAATTGCTCATGCTGACAGTGTCAGATGCTTGGCAAGTGTTAAAAATAGATGAAGACAGATCAGTGTTAAGAGTGGTGCTGTGTTTTAATTACTCAATATTAAGGTCTTCATTAGATATGTGCAGAGCCAGTCAGTTCTTGCATTTAGTCAATGGTTTATAGCTGGGTGTTTTCTTTATGCCCTGGTGCTGTTTACAACAGGTAGCACACTAATAGAAAAGCTGTCAAAAAGCTTTGCATGTTGGCAAATGAAGAAACACAAAACATCCCAGAATATTTGGCAAGGATATGTTTTCCAGACATCTGCTTTTTGAACAGCAAAATTTCCCTGATGTGTTCCTTATCCAAACCTTGTTCATGCCATAGATGTGAGAATTGGGTTAGATAATGCGGTATTTTGGTACTTTCTGACATTACACACTCTTTGACAAGTAGCTGTTCTAGGATTATAGAAGAGTAATATTACAATTATTGTTGGTATTCCAGTATTAGGAGTTCCAGACAGAACTGCTGTGAGATACAGAAGCAAATAGGAAATGCAGTTGTAAATCCTCGTGTGGATGAGAGCTTGTTGTGGTTTAATCCAGCTGGCAACTGAGTACCACTTGCTACTCCTACTCCATCAAATGTTAGACTCTGTAGTAAGCAAACTGCTGGGTAAATACTTACTGTGTAGCCCTGTTGAACAGAGCTCACAGAGTTATCATTGAATTCTTGAATCCCAGTTTCTGTTGTCTTGGAGGCTTTGATAACAACATTTAAATACAGCACCTTTGGAAGTGGTTTTGTGGCTGTCTGGAGCAATCACTTGGGAAAGCTTGTCTGGGCTCGGAGTGGGGGAAAGTAGAATTTGGTTCCATCAGCACTTCTGGGTGCACAGAAGAGCGTCGCAGAAACACACCAGTGTTGATGAAACTTTTAAAGGAAAGCTTGTAGTAAAAGCCTGGATTTCTGTTAAAGAAAAGATGAGGAAGTGAAAAAATGTGCATGTTCCCAACTGGAAAAGCATCGTCAGGCTGAGAGTGGGGAGTGAGAACCCAGCCAGGCTGCAGCAGGACTCCCTTATATCCCATGTGCTTGTATGTTCTGTCTGTGCCAAAACCAGGGTAAGGCAGGAATAGCGTGTATGCAACACTCGTTCCAGCGGGATGCCAGCGTCAGGCACGGCATGGATCCTGACCCAGCCAGTGGGAAGCTCCTCCTAGTCCCACATTTCAGACACTGCCCCTTTTAGGTTTTCCTTGGGGTTGTGTGGTTAGTGGAGATTCCTTTCTGCTTTTGTTGTTGTTTCTGTTCTGCTTTTGCTGCTTTCTTTACTCAGCCTAATAACATACTGCTGGCCGTGCCAGCTTGCTTTCTGGTGGGATCTGTATGGTGTATGATATATGTATGATATGATATATGATATGTGTGGTATATGATGACTGTTTCCGTTCGTCACAAAGAAAAGTTTTGCCTCTGTTAGTGGCTTGGTTTGGAGCTTTTCCATGTTTCTCTTAAATGAAGTCTAATTATAGCCCCTAGCTTGCTTTGTGGTTAAGCCTGCCAATATAATAGCTCTATAAAGAGATGTATAAAGCCAAAGTTTAGTAGGATAATAATTGTTTTCCAGAAGGGCAAATACAGATCCCAAAGTTTGCCCTAATGGATTGGAGGTGACAGTAGGATTTGGGGAATTTGTTGCCTCAGACCAGCTATCTCAGAATAAAGAAGGAATCACATCAACAACCGCTCTGGTGACTTTCTAAAGATCAGTGTGACAAAAGAGTGTTAAAGAGTAGGTGAGCAGCCTGTATGATGCATGCACCCACGTCCTCCTCGTATCAGAGAATCAGTCCTGCTTTCTGTGTGTAGGTTTGGGGGAAGTCAATCCACAAGGGACCTGCCAGCGTGGGCAGCAGCAGATAAGTTACTACAGGCACAGTCTGTCATCTGAGGCTGTTACACATGTTATTTATGTAGCTATCCATTTTTCCTGTGTTTTCAGGTATCCCAGACCTAGTGTCAGCTTGGTATAAAGAGACCAGAATATTAGCTGATGGAAGGATATGTCTTAATATGAGCCAGGGGGATTATCAGTCTCATTCCTCCTGTGTGTTTAGCTAAGATAACCCTTTGTGCAGGCTCTTCTTGCCCACTCCTTTGTGCTGACGTGGGTGTGAAGCAGAACAGAGCCACGCAGGGGTATTTATGCTCTGATGTGGGACTTCAAAGCACTCACCCCAGACAATGCTTTGGTTGTCCGTGTGTTGTAATGCAGCACTATAGCAGGTTTAGGTGTGCCAGGCAGCACGTGAAGGTGAGAGTGGTTCCTGCCCCATGATAAGGAGAGAGACAACACATGGGTATGGACTGCAGGTCCCATGAGAGGAGGAGTGAATGCATCTGAAAGATAGGAATAAATCCTACTGGATGAGTCACGGGCTGAGCAGGACTGTGCAGAGAACAGAGACTGTGTGATGAATAGGTAGTAAATGAGAGAAAACAGCTTCAGAAAGGCACTTTTTCTGCTGCCTACAAAGGACAGGAACCCCACAGGAAGACGCAGATTCCCTCCCGGACTTGGAAATCACATCAGCTTTGTGTAGAACTAACTTCTGTGAGTGTAAACTGCTTACAAAGGAAGATTGCAATTCTGGTTGTAACTAAATAAAGTAGGAAAAAATGTGATGTAAGAGGAGAATTAAGGGCCATTTTCTCAATGTCATCAAATGTGTGTATTTCTGGCAGTTACAATTGGCATCTTTCTTACCATTACCTGCTCAGACCTGGTGGTGTTGATTTCTCCTGCATGGTTCTGCTTCCCTGCCCTCGTGTCCTTAGCTACTATCTGATTCAGCCACTGCCATCACTGGTTTCCAGAGCAAGACTTGAGACCAGCAGCCACAGCACCCTTCCACATCTAAATATTCTCTTGTCCTCTTTTCATCTCATGTACAAACCCAGTTTCGTAGGAATTGAGCTTGTTTTCAGGTTACAAGTCAGCTGATGACAAACTTCCACCTCATCTTTCATCTTTCCTCTGTCACAAGTGTTACTGAGGAGCTGAGATGGTTTTATCCAACACTTCTCTTTCTAATTTCTATCTAAATTCAGTAACTGAAATAACAGTTTTAGCTTAAATCTTCTGTTTTCTCCCCAGCTTTACAAAAACCTAAAAGTCTGTTTGGGGTGGAACCACAACATTTACTGCAGTGTTACCCCTGGAGCAGGGTTGTGCTTTCCTTGCCATTGCTGGAGCTGCAGTGCTCAGCAATCAAATCTAATTCTCGTATCAAGAAACCTGACAGCTCTTCCCCCTCAATGTCAACATGCAGGAGCCAAGCTCATGTCTGTACAGTACAATTGCTTTAGTGAAGGCTATTCATGAGGCAATCTGCATGCAAAACTCTTGCCAAGTCTCTTTTCAGCTGGGAAAATTGCCATGCTTTTAAAATAGCTTATCCCCTCCAAACAGAGGAGAGAGGCATCTGCTCTCCTGAAAAGCAGAGCTGAAAGCAGCTTTGAAAGAATGCAACAGGGAGCATTAGGCAGATACATATTTCAGGGATGGGTGAATGCTTGGGGGGTAGTTCCATGCACTGTAATGAAACTGAGGAGGAAAAGATTCATCTCTACTGCTCCATTTTTATTTCTTCTGTTAAATATTTATATTTCGTAGGGTTGAAATGGAAAACAAAACGTGATCAGAGAGCTGAAAAGCTGAACATAATGGGAGCTGATGCCTGTTTTCTTCAGGCAGCATCTAGATTGCAGTTCAAAGGCCTGCATGAAGCAACTGAATTGGCCCAGGGCCAGCTGACAGGTGTCTGCATCATTTAAACCCACTACAAATGTGCACTGATTGTCCTCTTCCTATGGGAAGCCCATCTTGTGATGGATTTGGAACCAGACTGCTTCTCAGGCTCAGAGGTACCTGCGCACCAGCTCTCTGCCCTGCCCTCCTGTGTGGGTAATCGCAGAACCACAGAGTGGTTTGGCTTGAAGGGACCTTTAAAGGTCACCGAGTCCAACCCGCTACAGTGAGCAGGGACATCTTCCACTAGATCAGGTTGCTCAGAGCCATGTCCAACCTGACCTTCAGTGTTGCCAGGGATGGGGCTTCTACCACCTCTCTGGGCAGCCTGTGCCAGAGCCTCACCCCCCTTATTGGAAACCATTTATTCTGCCTATTTGGTCTGAATCTACCTTGTTTTAGCTGAAAAATTTCAGCTCAGAAAGCATCTCTAGCCAAGTCCCTGGGACCAGGCTGGCTTGCACCACCAGCAGGCTGCTTTGTCGTCTTCTGTGTCTTCTGGCAGTGTGTGCAATATACCTTTGTAGCACATCATGTTTGCTCTTCACACCATCCTTTCCTGTCAGCCTCTACTTCATTGCATGCTGGACCTTTGCCCATTTATTCCAAAGCTGAGTTGACAAAGCATGTCAACAGCCTTCCCTCTGTCCCCTGTCTTACTTCTCGTAGCAAAGCTACTGAGCTCTCTCTTCCTCTCCTCTCCTCAGGCACACACATGCGTGTGTACGACGCACATATGTGTTACATGCTGGTCTGGTTACCCCATCTACTGTTGTTCATACTCCTTTGTGGGGGGGGGGTCAGTTTTGTTGCACACCCTGATATTGTCCTTTGTAAGTACCATTCCCATCAACCACCTTCTCTTCCAGCTTTTGCCTCCCAGGTAACTCTGTGGAAAAGGTGTCTGTGGGCGTTTGCCCAAAGGAGATGAAATTACACCTAGCTGCTTTGGGCTCTTCGCACCAGAGCAGATTCCAAGCAAGCCATGCAAGCCCCTTGCTATTTAGCCACCAAGGTCTAATCTGGCTCTCCCATTGCTTCTTGCTAGCTGCCTTTGATCAGTGCGTGCAGTGGCCTGTCACACGGAGCTGGGTGCTGACAGGTCCAGTGCCTGCTCTGCTGTGGCCCTGCGGAGAGCAGGAGCACTGCAGAGCACTTGGGAAAGGTTATGGTGTGAGCTTGCAGCCAGGAGAGAGACAGCAGCTAAAGAGGTCACAATGGGGAAAGCAGAGAGAAGAAAAAGGAGAATGAATAGAGGTCTTTCAATCAGCAGGATGGGAAGAAAGTTTTTCCTCCTGTTCTCCTTGTCACACCAGTTCTGAGAGTAAAAGTAGGTCACTTTTTCTTGCATCCTTCATGAGATCACAGTTACTGGAAGCTCAGTTCTGCTTCACTGCTTTCCCTGAGGAGAGGATCCAGGATGGTGGAATAGTCCTGCTGTCATTAGTGTGGGTGCTCTGTGGTGAAGAATGACCCAGAGTCCCTCTTGTGCTACACAGAAACACCTCAAGTCTCTTTGGATTGGGGAATGCTTAGGAAACATGTTTTATTTACAAGAGGAAAGAGATGATTCCATATCTCTTTGGAATCAGCTAATGGGAGGCTTCTGGCATCTTGCACCTTGGTTTGATGTGCATTCTCCATTGGCACACCAGGCTGCAACTGCACAGCTCTTTGAAAATAAGGCTCAAGTGAAACTACCCACCCTTATGTCATTGTCGTCTAACCACAGATGTTATAAACAACAAACCAAAGTGGAATAGAATTGCCTTAAACAGAAATACCCCTGTAAAACCTAACCAGAATGCTTGCTCCAGGTATTCCTACAAACACATCTGGGACTTTGTGTCCCTGTGATGCCAGGAGTAGCCTGCTGCTGCGCCAATGTGGCTACCAACATAGCAGCTACTTGCTAGGAGTCATGCCCAGTGAATATTCACACTGTGTGCAGGTTACTGTTTGCATTTAGACATGTCTAAGTAAGATGTGCTAAAGCCTATTTTGTGGTGCTATGTGTGTGTGCATTCGTGCTTAGGAATGCGTGCTTTCCAAGCACGGGTCACTCCAGACAGCTACAATGTGTTGCAGGAAGTGTCAGTGAGTAGATTGATGGGTTGTAGTTCCTGCTTTAATGTTTGACCGTGATTCTTAAATACCGAGTCTATATTCCCATGTTAGAAGGGTTTTAAACTGCAGGTTTCTCCTCTTTGCAGGTGCACAAAGCAGGGTCTACACTTTGAACAGGACCTGGACACAGTTTGACAGCAGAATGTCCTGCTCTGCAGCTTGGCTTGAGCTGGAATCACATACAGACCTCAAGACTTCCCTGGAGTTGGCTGGTGACCTAAATGACCATGTGGGGGACTTGAGGGTAAAATGAGCAGAAAGAGGAACATTTTGCACAACACAAGAGTTACCCCATTAGGGTGACCCCATGTTGATCCCACAGATTCTGACTCCTCAGAAATCAGAGGTGAAAAGCTCAGGAAAGCTGAAGTGTTGTCCCTCTTGAGAAACCCCACTGGCTTTCCTAACATGGAAGACAAGATGGATGTAAGAGATGTATTTAAACCCCAGGAAGACAGTTCCTGCCTAAGGGGTTTGTCAGAGAATGAGGATGGTCTCACTCATTTTATGGCCAGGGTCACTGCTGGAGAAGCAGAGGAATGCAGCAGCAGGGAGGTGGGTTCCTGCCCTGCAAATGTGATCACTTCTTACACAGACAACTGCTGCTGTCACAGGGAGGACTCTGTGTCTGCTCAGTCTCTGGCTGATGTCCACGCGGGTGATACCCCCTCTACACCTCTCCCCACTGATACCCCCATCTGTGAGCAGGCAGATGCTCCTCCCACAGGAGACCACAGGTACTGTGCCAAAGATGGCTCTGACAACCCTGCCACTGTTGGGGGGGGTTGTCCAGAGCAGATTCCAAGCGTATGTGATGACTTTGATGACGACCTGGAATATTTTGAATGTTCAGACGTGCTGACAGTGCAGGAGGATGAAATCTGGAAAAAGAAACTACAATTCTTATTAGAAAGTGATGATGAAGATGACTTAAAGCTGAGCAAGGATTGTGATGGGTGTGCTTACTTCCTCGGTGAAATGCCTTGCCTGATTCAAGTGTCAGATGACACTACGCCTATGGATACCACCATTGGCTTCTGTGGTCATCACTCAAAACTCAAAGGAGTAAATGTAAGGAGAGACCCCTCTACGTCCAGCCAGTCAACTCTGCAGCCAGAGATGACTCTCACTGTTGGGCACCACCGGGACAGCAGTTCCAGCCTGCAGGACAAAGAGAAAAGTAATGTGCCTGAAGCATCCGCAGCCATTGGAAATGACCATCCCAGGGCTGAAGAAGGAAATAATGGAAGTAGCCCCTCAGCTGCAGGATTCCCAAGGGACACATCAAAGCACAAGGATAATGTACCTGCTGAGACAGACTCTGCTGGTGGCAGAGGTGCTGCTCTGACAAAGCAGGCTCCAGACACCACGATGGCAGAAAGCACGGACAAGGACTTGCTGGGGGCAAGCTCCTTGCTGCTGGAGGAGGAGGGAGGAGCCGTGCCAGAAGAAAACCCCAGGCGTGCTGTGTGCACCTTGACAGAGAGTCTGCGGATAAACCTCTTCAAGTTCCTGAACCCCAAAGAGCTCTGCAGATACGTAACTGCTATAGGACAGTCTCTGCAGGCTGCAGCGGAGGTCAGGGAATCCAGTGCTCTGGGTCAAGAAGGTGTCACTGCACCAGGGAGACCTGGGGAGGCAGAAAGCTCCCAGATGCAGCCTGGTGTGTGTCCTGCAGAAGAGGGGGAAAGGAAAAGGACTTGGGGCCTGTCTGAGCACAACCAAATGCCAGCTGAAACCGACCCACCCAGGGTAAGTACAGTGTTTCTCATTGAATAGAAAGAGCTGCTCTGCTGATTTAAATGCACTTTATTCCTGTTTGTCACAAAATCATGGGAAATGGGAATTACTGTGAAAGACACTATTCATGTACTCCTGAATGACAGCTCTGGCTGGGAGGAAATCTGGTGTTGAAAAAGGCCCAAATAAACCATAAGCTGTTCTAATTATAGAGTGAGACAGATAATAGTGAGAGGCACTAATGGGACTGTGGACAGCTGGGCAGGGAAACGTGAAACCCAGGCTGCTGCCCAGGTCTTACCAGAGCAATGTTGTCTTCAACCTACAGAGTTCCTCAAATACCTCTTGTGAGCACAGAGTCTTTTGAGTCACTTTCATCTCAGTTTGTACTCAAAGAATAGGATTGTGCTACAACAGATCAGCAGGGCTCTGCTGAGGGTCTGACATGGGGGAGAGTTTAGTCCAGAGAGGTCCTGTTACAAAGGTGGATGGAGCTTTGCTTTAAAATCAAACAATATAAGAGCCAAATACTCCAGCTGAAGTGTAAAATCCAGTTAAACATGAAACCCCAACATGGTGCTCTCCATGTTTCATGCTATTGGTAGGAAATCAGCATGGTTATACAGACTCATACAATGTGCCAACAGTTTTCCTAAGTGGGGAGAACTGGCTCATGCTTTTGTGTCTCGTAGTAAAGACTTGAGATACATAAATGTGGATGTATGGGTATTAAATCATGAATAATCTCTCACTGACTTTACTGATTGGAAGGTTTGTGGCTGATTGTACAGGAAACAAAACATCTATGACAAAGAAACACAAATCAAATAGGAAAGCAGTATCTGTGTGCGCAAAAGGGCTGGAGGTGAGCACGAGCCAAACCTCTGGTTCTACATTTATGAATGAAGATGGAATTTAGGTGTAGGTTCAAAATCAGGTGGTGTTGAAAATGAGGCAAAAGCATCCTGTGTGGAATCTGCTCTTTCTAGCACAGGAAAAGCACGGCCAGCTTCTCAGAGCTCCCACGTCATAAGCCAGGAGCTCCTCAGCAATCCGTTTGGGTAACCTAAGACAGGCAAGAACAAAATGTACCTCCCGTTGCTGCACAGAGGTTTATGTGGGCTGTGGTGTGAGCTGGAGCCCAGCACTGGAGCCCCCTCTGCCAGGAGCAGGGTGGGGGATTCACACAAACCACAGTGACTGCTTTTGGGTTTCCCTCTGCATGTGGTGAGCAGGTCTGCTGAGGGTGCACCACAGCACTCAGTGCCCAGGGATTTACACTTCCCCTTGGAGCCAAGCTGCCTCCGACTGGAACAACCTTTGCAAGTGCTGGACTGGGTGACTTCTGCTGCCATTAGCTGGTGGAGGTGGGAGGCTCCTGGCTCCTCTCCTGGGCTCCTGGTGAAACTCTGTATGTACCTAATGCTTCAAAGCAGTTTAATTAATGATAGTTCCTCAAAGCCAACTGTGCCAGTGGTATGGTGTGATATTACATCCCATGAGGAGAGCCAGGAAGCTGCCAGTCTGAGGTGTGTCATTCAAGAGCTGGGCTATAGTGGTCAGTTCAGAAGGTACTGGTGTCAGTCCCGAATTCCAGAGCCCATGCCTATGGCCTGTTGAATGCCAGTGATGCTGGTGAGGTGCTCCTGGAACCAGCAGGTTCAGAGGGGCCCCAGGCCTGAAGCAACATACTCATGCTGATACCCAGAAGAATGGCACATGGGGCATTTTTCTTCCTGCTAATGAGCTTTACTCTTCATCCTGCTGTTATCTGGATGTCACTCGTGTCATAAGATGTGAGACAGAATTGGTTTGGCCTTCCTGGCATAAACCGGTGTCACTTTCAGGTTATTTTAGCTGTTACTGTACCCAAGGAGAGAAGCAGACAGGCAGAAAGACATGGGAAGAGGGTGGAAAGGTAAGAGGGAAGGAGGGAGCTGGGTCAGTGACAAAGGAAAAGCAAAAGGAAATTATTTGAAAGGGTGTCACAGCAGTTACAGCTGGTTAACTCTGCCCATGAGGAGTTAGCTTGAAACCTAGGGAATGAAACCCATTGAAATCCAGCCTGAGTCTTTCTAATGTCTCAGGGTTTTCCACTTCACTGCTAAGTTTTACCCTGTATAAACCCCTTCAGTAGTTCTTGTGTGCAGAATAACTCGCTGTAAGTGGTTCGCATGCTTCATTTCTGAGTATTATATTCATACCATGTGCCACAGATCTCACAAGAGAGTCTGAGAGGCTACAGCTCATCCTTTCTAACAGGCTGGAGGGGTTGGTGGCAGGTAACATCTTGTTTGGTCACCTGGGTTGTAGTTGGCTCCAGCCTTTCCTGGGAGCCACACAAATCCATCATCTGTACCACTTCAGAGCTGTGCTGTGAGCCCATTGCTCTGTGTTGCTGTCAAAGGCAGAGGCCTCTTTCTGTCCTTTGAAATCCTATATTCTTTCTTAACATCCTCTTTTTCTGCCTCTCCAGCAGGAATAGCAGGATGCTGGCAGGATGTCAGTGAGCATCTGCAGTAAAAGCTGCAGCTCATGTCTTTTGTTCCACCTAAAGCACTAGGAATACCTGCAGGTATTGAGTTCTTTAGCAGTAAAGGCAGATGAGCCATTTAAACCAGAGTGTTATTTTAGGAGAGAGAAATATTTCCCTTGAAACTCTCCTTCAGAATCACGTGTTTGTCTAATGAAACCCTCCCAGATACGGCACTAAAGGTATGTTCAGGCTCTTGAGCTGCCCCAGTCTCTGGTTCTGTTTGGCCTCTCTGCAGATGTTTTTGGCCTAAGCTTCCCTATGAACACCAGCACCAACCCTTCCCAGTCAGGCTTCCTGTGCTGGTTTCCTCTTTTATACATGTGGGTCTCAGACTAGCCATTCACCATCCCCAGGGTGATTCCTCTTAGAAATCATAAACAAGCCGCCCCAGAGGCTGCATGTGTGGTATCAAACCCTAGACACCTGAGAGAACAGGGAACAAAACCCAATTCCAGATGGATAGATCCAGGCCTCTTTCCTGACTTGAGCAGGGGGCACCATTGGGCACCAGAGGGACAGCAGTCGTGGAGCTCAGCGTCCCAGGCTCAGGGGTTCAAGATAAGCATGCACTGGTAAAGGACCTGGTATCTGAGCAGCCTGTGCCTCTGCTGCACACAGCAGCTCATGGAATCCTTCATTCCATGTCCCTCCCTAAGGAGCAGCACTTCTGAGCTGTGTGCCTGCCAGCACTCACTGCACACACACACACAGCAATGCTGCACCCCAGAGGACTCACCCACTGGGTGTCACAGGGGCTCATTTCTGCCATCATCCAGCACACCCTTACATGTTAACAAACACCCATGGGTGAAACTGGGACTCCCAAAGGAAAATCCCAACCCAGAGCAGTTATGGTGTTGAGTTTGTAGCTGGGTAAAAGCTACAGCTTTGCTGTGGGTGGAAGATGCTCATCACCTCCATAGAATTGATGTAGTGCTGTTGAGAACTAGGGAAAACCCTGGCAACAAAAGCTTGGCAGGGACTCCGGGACAGGAATTTAGAGTGAAAGCTCAGTGCTGAGGGGAATGGGGAGCAGTTTGAACAGGATTTGTGTCAGGCAATTTGGCTCAGTTTAGTTGAGGAATGGATTGTTCCTGCATAAAGTGACTGTTTGGAACATTTTGATACAGGTTCTAAATCTGTATCAAAATCCAGGATTCCGATTTCACCCATTAAGTTGGTAGTTTGACTGCTGACAGCTACTAAAACCCCAAAGAAGGGACATTCCAAGCCAGGACTCCAGTCCAGGCCTGTGTCAAGCAGCAGTTCTGGTTTTGACTTACATTTCTCTTTTCTTCTTTGTAGAGTCAAGGTGCTGATGTTCAGATCTCTGCTCAGACCTGTGAAAGGCTGTGCATGGAGCCCCAGATGGAAAAGGAAGGCATCTTTGGGACTCGTGAGAGTGCAGGAGCCATCCAACCAGCTCCAGAAGTTCTCTGCACTGCAAGGACATCACAAGCAAAGAGTGACAGTGTACAGACTGACTCTCAACACCATGCTCACAGTGAGAAGGGAGGAAGTTGTCACCACCAAGTCTTCTGTGAGCAAGGAATGAATGTTGTTAGTGGTGGTGTTTCACCTTTCCCTCCACAGGACACGGGCTCTGCTCCTGACAAACAAGAATGTTTGTGTGCTGTTCTCTCTTCTGCAAAGCTCTGTGATGAGCCAAGGAAGGGAGGGCAACAGTGCAGCTTTGACTCACATGGTAGCAATGACACAGATACTTTTTGCAGTCTCTCCTCTGATGAATCTGTGCTTGAAGCTCAGACCAAGTCAGGCCTGGAATGTGGAGAACCTGCGTGCAGAGGAGATGCTGATGTATCTACAGTGCATGACAAGCTGTGGCAGCTTCTTCATGAAGATGAGGAGTTGGACTGTCAAATCCCATGTGAAACCAGGGGCATCACAAGTTTAGAAATCAGGCTGGCAGGTACCAAAGTCCCAGAATTGCGCTGTGCACAGAAGATCTCTTCTGATCCTCCTTTGCCAGAGGAGCAGGAACTTGTTACACAGCCAGATAGTAGACAAAGAACAGAGGAAGGTGTCTGCACCGACTCTAATATCCTACTTAAAGCAGATGGAGAGTCCATAGGAAACACTTGTCTTGCAAAAGTGGTAGAAGCAGATGGTGTGTGTCTAGATTCTAACACTGGAAATAAACCAGAAGCAGCACCATCCATTTGTGTTACAGCAAATAGCATCATCTTAAATCCAGGGGAGTGCTTGGAGCAGGAGCCAAATCCCATGTTACCTAACAGCAGCGGATCCATTCAGATGGCTGTTGGTGGGGAAGGAGAGCTTCCCATTAGTCATGCTTCCCAAGCATGTGATACAGGTTCTCCTGGAAGATTAAAGGGTGCTCAGAGTGGCGATCGTGACAAAGAAACTCCAGATAAGTCACACGGGACAGTTGGTCAGTTACTTCCCACTGAGCACAACATAGCCTTGATGGATGAGACTGGAACTGGTGAAAGGTGTAATTTTAGAGACTGTTACCCAGCAAGGGAAGAGCTGCCTGATTTCCCTGAGGATAAAGCCTTTTTCCCCAGTGGAAACCCCAACCAGCTGCCACCTGAGGAACCCTCTTCTGTCAACACCTTACCTGAAAGTTATGGAGTGGGTTCACCAGAGAAAGGAAACCACTCAGCCCTGAATGCCCAGAGCAACACTGATCCTGACAGTGATCTCCCTTCAGGGAATGACTGTCACGATTCCCAAGTTATTTCTAATGCACAGGAAAATGTTACTGTAATTGAGACTCCTGAAAGCATCACACATAAGAATCCACCCCAAACCGCAGACCAACTGCCAGAAGTAGAAACCCAAGGAGTGGCATTCACCCCCTCTCCTGGGGATGCGGTTTTAAGGGATTTGAGCTTAGAATTGTGTAAAGCAGGAGGAGAACAGAGGCAGATTGGCAGGGCTGGAGCTCCCTGTGCCTCAGGAGCTGGGCATGCCTCAAGGAGCCAGGCTGCAGCTGCCCCTCGCAGTACAGCAGAACATCTGGGCTTTGGTAACAGCCCCTTCAAGTCTGATGGAGAATTAAAAGCTGAGCCCGTCAAGTGGAAACACAGCACAGCAAAGAGTGGGCACGTAGCTGCTGGGGCTAAGAAGAAGTTACCTCCAGCGTCACTGTCCAAAAAGCCCCGTCTGGAGGAGAGAGGAGATGCCTGCAGCAATCCTGCCCTTGCCACAAAGCCTGTGAGGAATGAGGCAGGAGTGAGTCAGAGGGAAGATAGAAACGAGCAAAGGAAACTCACTGTGAAGAAGGAGAGCAAAGGTAAGAGAAGGTTGAGGTTCATTTCTGTTCTTTCCCGTGTTCTGGCTGCACTTTGACATTCAAATTCAAACACTCTGCAAGCCTCCTTTGGTGTAAACCATGTCCTGCCCTCACTGGTTTTAACCTCCAGCTCTGTGAGCTGCTACACTGTGGCTCCCAAACGCAGTCACCCTGCCTTGGTTACCAGCTGGTTTTATTACTAGCCAAGTAGTAGTGTTATTAGCAGTGCCACATGTTGTGCAGTCCTGACTGGTGACTGCTGCTGGGTCTGCATTCCTCTTATCACTGTTGCGAATGACACTGCTGAAGTCAGCAATATTAAACTGGAACAGCATACAAGTGAAAGGAGATTCAGGTTGCTGCCAGGTCAACCAAGATACAGACAGGAGCAGCACAGATGGACAGATGTTTGTGGTTTCCATGGATGCTGTGCAAGGACTTTTGACATAAAATAATCAGAGCAACACTGAACAGGGACTAAAGCTGCACAACTGTGAGAGATTCTCATTAGAGTGTGCTCTGGGGAGAGTTCTGCTGCTCAAATCCCATTTAAAACCTCCAATCTTTTCTCTGTTGGAAGATGAGTCCTTTGCCTAGAGCCAAATGTGTGGGAGGAGAGACACATTCTGCACAGCACAGTAAGCAGGCTGCAGGCACAGGGATGTGCCTGAGCTCTTGCAATGTACCTGAGGCTGTGCTTGGAAAGGTTTTAAGCATTCAGGCCTGCAGCAGATGAGGCTGATTCTCCTTCACCTGCTCCTGATGTGCTTCAGTTCAGACTGAAATCAGTGTCTGTACCTCAGAGTCATGCTGGCCCTGCCCCAACATTGTGGGGAGGTTGCAATGGCTCCTCTGGTACATGCTCAGTGTTCTCCTTTGTGTTATTTACAGCTGGAGGAGGCAGGACTTGGTGTCAGGACAGTGGTAGTTCTATTTGCAGTTGTGTCACATACTGCCTGTGTCATTTTAGCCCTGATTCAGCAAGATCCATAGGCTTAAGGACTTAAGTGACTACAGGTTAAACATAGCAGTGAATTCCAGGTGCCTGACCCCTCACGCTGGATCCAGCATTCCTTCAGCATTAGCTGGGGGAAGCTAGACTGCAGGAATGGGATCCCCCCCAGGGGCCTTGTGTCACGCCAGCTCATTCACAGGATTAACACAGGAGGAAACAGAACGTCTTGCATTGTACGTCCCTTACATCTAGCAGGGGTGGCTCACTGGAGCACAGGGATGTGTCATGATCCCAAAACCCTTCCTTAAGTATATGTTGATTCACTTTCTTTCCGAGTAGCCTCCATCCTTCTGCTCACGCCATGCCCACGTGCTGGGAGCTGGTAAGAAGTCCCAGCAGAGAACCAGGTTGTGAGGATCAACCTCAGCCCAGGCAGAGGCTTCTCCTCCCCTAACCTAGAATCATAGAATCAACTGGGTTGGAAAAGACCTGTAAGATCATCAAGTCCAACCCTTACCCCAGGACTGCCAAGGCCACCAAGACTGCCAGGAACCTGAGGGCTTGGATTTGTCAGCCAAAGAGCCAGATGCCCTGTGGCTGGAAAGGTAGGGACTTTCCTTCAGGTGGGAAGCTAATCCTTTGCAACTGAAGTGGCAAAGGCCACTGACAGTACCAGATGCAGATATCTTATAGTGGTGGGGTCCTCCCTCCAGCTGGGCTTTAGGGAACATCACTGCACCTCTGAGAGCCTCATCCTGGCAAGGTGTGATACAAGAACACCTTGAGACTGAGCATCTCTTGGGGTTTCAAGGCTTTTCTCTCAAAGGCTTTTTTAGCCGGTCCCATAGGCAGAGAGAGTGTGTTTTGGAGAGGAAATGATTTTATGTCAAAGCCTTTTCAGTCTAGAACCTCCCTTGGGTCCCATTCTATCAATTCAAAGTGGGGCACTGAATGAGTCTTAAAACCTCTGTATTTTAAAGTGTTGCTTTCTGCATCAGATAACTCATGTTTAGTTACCAGTGTTGCCAGATTCACATTCTTAACATCTGCCAATCACTCTGGAATTCCTTTTTAATACCAAAGCAACATCTCCTAATCCTAAACTGTGGCTCTTCTGTTCCAAGCTCCCAAGCTGCTGAAGGGAATCCAGGCAGAACTCTTCCCTGACTGCTCTGGGAATATTAAGCTGTGCTGTCAGTTTGGTGACATTCACAGTGACTCCACTATTACCTGGACTAAAGATTCCAAGTTACTGGCTCGGCTGCAGAGGAGGTGAGTGGATGGTCCTGAGTAGTTTCTGAGTAGCTTTTGGGTACACGTGCCAGTGATTTACTCTTGTGCCTCCTAAGAGGATTAGTGTGCTAGGTGCTCTTCACACAGAGCATTAGTATTGGTCCTAGTTTGCATTCCATGTGACTTCATGGGATAAGTGTATCTCAGACTGTTGGGAATAACATGAAATACATAACAGAGATTTAAAGCCATTTCTAGCCACAGTTCTTACTTCTAAGATATTCAGTATTGTTCCATGGAGGTCTCCCTCCATCCCAACCACAATCTGACTAACTGGTGTGGACCCAAGCACTGTTCCTTCTTTGGGAAATATACATGGGATAATCAGGGAAGCTCTTCTAGAAGCATTGATGTGGGAAATGACCATGTTCTGTTCCAGTGCCCAGGATGACTCTCCTGTCTCATTGGCAATAGCTAAAGCCAGTAACAAAGACCAGGGAATGTATTACTGCTGCTTGAACAATATGTATGGGAAGGTGACTGCTGAGTTTAATCTGACTTCAGAAGGTAAATCCCATTTATCATTGTAAGGAATAATAATGACAGTGGCAGTTCTCATTCATAATATTACTACAAAACGTGTTTCATTGTTTCCTTGTAGTATTGGAACATCTCTCAAGTTTCCAGAGCTGTGAAGGTAAGTCACTTGAATTCATGGTACTTTTGGAGGGGAAAGACCCTCATGTAGGATGCAGTGGCTTGTGCAGGTGCTGGAGCACCCACCATGACAAGCTGTTGGCTTGCACTTAGCCGTGGAGCTTCAGTTAGTGCAGCAAGCAGTGCAATAGCATCCCCTCATGTCATGCAGACACACACCAAGTACATGAGGACACATGCTCACCTGCTCTGTAACTATACTCCAAGAGAAAGATGGGCATAAAGCTTTGGAATGCTTTCCCTCTATGTTAACTTGTGTTTAATGTCTTGCTGTGCTGCAGCTAAAGACTGTGCATTGCAACTGAGTTTATCATTTCTCAACAATGTGCAGTAGTGTAGGGAATCCAAACCAGAGGGAGCTGCAAAGCCTTCACTGCTGGGTAGCACACACCTTTGCTGTCTTATTCAGCTTCTTCACTGATGTTCCTTGAAAAGAGCCACTTTAAATGCCAGCCTGCAGCACTGGAGCTGATGCAGTGAGTGTGGCTGGTACTGGGAAAGGTGTTCCCATTATGGCCATACTGGATAAGGACAAGACTCTTTCAGCTGAGTGAACATGTTGGCAGCTTTTGTCATCTGAACCCTTTGCTACACTGTATTCTCTCCTTCTGAGCCACCTTTCTCCATGCTGGCTTTAGATGGTAGAAGCAACAAGGTACGTGTAGAGCAGGGTTCCAAGCCCTTACTAGCACAGGTTAGGCCATGTGCTCTATTTCCATTGAGCATTTTCCTCCTGCTATGGAGGGCTGTGTTTGTTCTTCCATGCCCACCCTGTGGCTGTAAGGAGGATGCTGTGCAGATCACAGTGGCTTTGTGTTGTAGGTATGGAGGAAATTGAGTTCATGCAGCTCATGTTCAGAGAGGATTTCATCAGTGACAGCTATTTTGGAGGGAACCTGCGTGGAGTGATAGCCACAGAAGAGCTTCACTTTGGAGAAGGCATGCACAGGAAAGCCTTCCGAAGCAGAGTGATGCAGGGGCTTGTGCCAGTGTTCAGCCCTGGGCACCCCTGTGTGCTCAAAGTGCACAATGCCATCACCTATGGGACCAAGAGTCAGGATGATCTGGTGGAAAAGAACTACAACCTTGCACTGCAGGTAAGCTCTCCTTTGGCAGCAGGAATCGTGGGGAAAGCAGTCTTCAAATATTCAAACAGCTCATCTGTTAATGTGTGGAGTAATATTCCATAGATGTATCTCTTTGTAACATAGGAGTGCTATGTCCAGAATACTGCAAGAGAATATGCAAAGATCTATGCAGCTGAAGCTGAACCCTTGGAAGGCTTTGGAGAAGTACCAGAGTGAGTATATATCTATTTTATATACATCTACACATATGTATTGTCCTGGGCCGCAGCTGCCCCCTGTAAGTCCTAAAGAAGAAAGAGGAATTCTGAGGACAGTGTTACAGCTGGAGTCATGACCTGCATAATACCGAGTATCAGGGTGCTGAGAGAGGTTCCATTCCCATGAGAGAAGGGTAATAAGGAGCACAGACAATAAGTAGCAGGCAAAAGGCCTGTTTTGATATACATTTAGAGGAGGGTATTTGTGGTAGTGTGGCAGCGGTTACCCCTTTGGCACTGTTGATCCAAGACATAAGACTTTGGTAACCAAGAGAAATAAGCCCATAGAGGATAACATGATTATGTTCTGGAGGTACCAGCCCTACCCAGACGTCTCCTGTTGTGGTTTAGACTTAGCTGTTACTCCCTCTCTGAGATGCCTGGCTACTCTGTCTCTTACTCCTTCATTGACAGAACTCTCTGGATTTTACTAGTCTTATCCCTTGCTTTCAGGATCATTCCTATTTTCCTTGTCCATCGCCCTGCCAACAACATCCCCTACGCGACAGTGGAGGAGGAGCTGGTTGGGGAGTTTGTGAAGTACTCCGTCAGGGATGGCAAGGAAGTGAACTTCCTGAGGAGGGACTCCGAGGCTGGCCAGAAGTGCTGCACCTTCCAGCACTGGGTCTATGAGAAGACCAATGGGAGCTTGCTTGTCACTGACCTGCAAGGTGAGCTACGTGAGTGCATGGTACAGGCTGGTGACCTCTCCGAGGCAATGCCTGTCACTGCAGTGTGTCTGTGCCTGTTTAATGCAGCATCTCATGCAGGTTGGAACAAAAGATAGGAGGCAGAGGGAGGATGGTTTCTTTTCCAGCCTTCAAAGAGAGAAGGAAGGAGAAGAAATGGCTTCCTCACATTTCTTAATGCTTAATGGTCTTGAGATCATCATTTTCCTGCACAGAAAGCTGCATCTTCAGCACTGGGTTTCACCTAGAAACAAGTCAACAAAGGGACAGGTTTAAAACCCCAAGTGTTTGGAGATAATGAATGAGAAAGGGTTTGGGCTCTTGCATCCAGAAAGTGAAAATCAGGTTGCCTGACTATTGCTATTTGATTGGCAAAACAAATAAGCAGTTGAGAACATTTTAGTCTGAGTTTGCAAACATCAAACACACAAAGCCCATAAATAAATATACACAGGGCAGGTGTCAGCAGAGATTGTGTCTGTTCCTTAAAACCAAAGTGTAATCCTCCTTACCCCACGGACTGCCTGCACAGAGCACAAGTTGCACTCTACTTATCACCTACTGTCTGTGAACTGTTGGTCTGAGACTGACCTCTAGGAACTGCAAGTGCTACAGAGCACAGAGATCCTGGTTTTACTGGGGTACCTTCAGATGCTTAGGCAAAATGGTGACAAATAATGCAAGCCATGAATCAATGAGCAATATTTAATGCCTCTAGATTTGGTGCTGTTCCAGTGTAACACAAGTTCTCTGTTTCCTTGCTGCTTGTAGGTGTAGGAATGAAGTTAACCGACGTTGGCATAGCAACACTGGCCAAAGGGTGAGTGCAAAATGCTTTCTTCACAGCATGGCTTTGCTTTGCACATCAATCTCTTCTCAGTGCGTGCTGGGGGAGGCTGCACTGAAAGCTATTCTTGCTTCGTTGTGGAAGAAAAGCATCCTCATCTGACTCTTTTAACTCCTTTTGGATCATATTTGTGGGAACCACCTATGGGGGAAACACATTCATGTTGTTCTAAAAGGGCTGCACTGTAGGTTGGGCTTTTCTTTTGCTCCGTGCCTCCCTCAAAATATGCTTGTTCAAAGGGTGCTTCATGCATGAAATCGAGGTCTCTGCTGGCTTACAAGGAGGTGAGGCACTTTGCTTGGTGGTCCATTGGCTGGAGGGAGGCAGGGCTGGAAAAGCAGGGCCAGCACTGGCTCCAGCTCAGGATACTTAAGCAGATCTGTTTCCTGGTAGTTTTACAATGGCTTCAGGTCTTTATGGGTGATTTAAGCCTTTGTGTAAACCTATAGCCCTTTAATCTTCTAACTTTCTCTTAAGTCTGTTGATTAAAGCTTTAGTTACACCACAGGCCAAAGGAGCCATTGACAGGAACAGGCAGTGCTGCTGGAAAGGGGCAGAGGAGGGGGGTCAATGCCTTCAAATTCATGTTCTGCTTTGAGAAACTGATTCCAGTTTAGTATTTATACTAAAGGAGAAGAACCTCACAGTATTTGTTACATTATTAATCTGGGAAAATCCTTAATGTTTGCAGCTGGCATCCATTCAATCCTTCCATTGAGCTGTGGAGCCAAAGTGAAAGCAGGTTAAATGAAGTTGCATCATCCACTTATAAAACACAAGCCATGAAAGTTTTATCTAGGCAACACTTGCCTGGGATCAGATTTATGGAAGTGCTTTAATGGATGAGGTTGTCCAGCTCACTGTGGGCAATTCCTCCTACAGAAACACATATTGGCTAGGGAAGAGGAGGTGCAGTTAGAAATGACTATGCAGTGCAAGCTGTAGGAAGGATTCTATGATCATCTATAAGGGAATATCATTTCCCTTCCTGAGCAACCTCTTAAAATGAGTGTCATTTTGGCTGTCGTTTAGCTGATGACATTGCTGCAAGACAGCAGATATTTCCTGGCGCTGTTGGGAGAACAGGCAGAGTCCTACTTAGCCACAAAATACAGTGTGATACTGGTGTGATTTTAAGATCTCCAAGTGATTTTTGGTGTAATTGCTATAGAAATTACCAGGAATTACCCACTTTGCAGGGGAAGAACCTCAGTGATCACAGCCAGGTTCTTACCTCCAGTTCTTCTAAACCCGGCCAGTCCCATCAAGGCAAAGCAGCAATATCCTTGGGGGATGCTTCTGTGGTCCTTGAGGAGCTCTCCCAAGTTATTCTGCTCTTTTACCCTTCCTATGTGTGTTTTACCAGTGAGCTGAAAACCGAAAGAACCCGGAGCGAAGGGTCAGTGATTCCTGCACTGCAGGAGCTGCAATACAGCTTCTGTCAGCAGAGGGCAAAGCCTCACCAGGAACCGCACAGCCTGGCAGGGATTTCAGTGGAGCGCTGGGACAAGCGGCACTCCTTTGAACGAGGTCTGTGGTAGAGGCTTTGGCTCTGGCAAGCAAGAAGTGCCCGGGTATTTATCCAGGCACAAAGAGGAGGAACTCAGGAGCACGGTGACCCACGGTCATGGTGTTTGGTGGGAGTGGTGTTTACCACATGGGGACCTGACAGGCTGCTTTGAGGGCACTGGTGAATTTAGTTGAACTCCACATGGCACCAAGAGCCATTGAACGCAGAGGCTGAGCCTGGGGCCAAATCCAACACTTCAGGTTTAAGGAAGATTTGGTTTGGGTCAGGTTTAGGGGATGGAATTCTGTCCAGGTTTTATTATCAGTCATCTAGTCAGTGAGTAATAGTGTGTGCTGTGCAAAATAACACACTCATGTGTCTCAAGGCTTGGAAGGGTGGGTAGAATGGAGACCTTCCCCACTTACACATACCACAAGCTATAGGGTGCTTTGAATCAAGCTCACAGGTCCTGCCAGATTACAACAGGCTGTGGGCACCAGGTCTGTGAGGACAAAGCACATCTGGAGGGGTCTGTGGAAGCCCTGGAAGCGCTGTTCCAGCCCCTGGTCTCACATCTGTAGGCTGGATTTCCTTGGGGTGCCTGCACCCTGCAGAGTCAAAGCAGGCTCATTCATCCTCTCAGCTCCCAAAGGGCAGGAGTATTACCTGGGGCACATCTGGAGCCGCAAGGACAGATGCAAACTTGTGTTAAGAGAAGGGAAGTGGGGATGGCTCACTGAGGAGCAAAGCTAGGGAATAAAACCCCTCACATGGTCTGTGTCTTGCTCACAAGATTGTTGTGCCCTTACTGCAGCTATTTTTTGCACTTGTTGAGTTCTAAAGCTGTGGTTAGTTTAGCAGAGCCTTCAATTGTACGTTTAAAGTGTCTCCTACTCAGAGTACCCTCTCAGCTACTGTTTCTGCTCCTGGTTAAAATGTTCCTCCAAAGACACACAGGAAGTTCCAAATACAGGTAGGAAAGGCATTTAGAAAGACTTGTATTCACTGCATGAGAAAAGCTCAACCTTTTCATTCCAAGATGATTTCCACAAGGAAATGAGTATTCTCAGAATGTAACAGCATGGGAAAAGCACATGAAGAAGCCACCAGCTCTGCTTTAGCTGGTTCCTGGAGCCAGGAGCAGTGGTATCAAGAGGTTTTCTTGCTGAGCACAGCCAGGTTTGCCCCTGGAGCTTAGGAGCATACATACCTGAAGCTCCTCTGGTAAAGGAGCTCAAGGATAAAGCCTCAAGTCTATTATTTCTCCAAAGGAGGGAGAGAACAGTTCATGCCCTGCTGAGCTCAGCAGTAGCTCCCCACTTCAGCATCCTTCGGGTAAACCAGCACAAACCTTACTTGGAGAGGAGAGGAAAATAACCTCTTAGCCCTTTGGGGTTCATCTGGCTGCCTATGGCAGTTGGCTGAGTAGTTTCTCTGGAGCAGGCTCACAACCTGGTTGTTAGAGATGCAGAATAGGGCAGTTAGATATAAATGGAGGCAGACACCATTCCCTTTTGCAAGGTATTTTGTTATCTTTTCCCCGTTGGCACCATCCTTAGCTCTGAGAAAGAGCTTCACCTTCTCAGAGCAGCAGCGTTTTCTTTAGCACTCTGCAGCCTGCAGGAGGAAGGAAGGTCTCTGGAATGCTGCAGTGAGCAGGTTGTGTTTATTTCAGTGCTAAAGCTTGTTGGGTTTGTGCAGTGATAACTCACAGCTCACATCTGAGGGCATTGTGTGTCCAGTGGACCAGGAGAATAGGGTCGAACATGCACTGGAAAGGGATCCTGGTAGTCAAGTCTGTGAGAGAGGAGCATGGCACACGGGGTAGGTACATGCTTGGATGGAAACAGCTTGCGGTTCTGACAACACCTCGTGCAGCAGCTTTGTCACTTCATGGTGGTCAAGAGAACTGCTTCTAGTTATAGAATTCATTTCTATGTTACTGAGACAAAGCTAGCCAGCAGACAGCTGCATTCCCAGCTAGCTGGAATGAAGAACAGTAGCCAGGGAGTACAGGACTTCGGCTCTTTAATCCTTTTCCCTCTCTGCCGCTGCTTGTTGCCTGGTTTCCTTCCCCTTGCAATGGCTTGGTTTGTTTCTCTGTGGCAGAAACAGCAGTGCTTGGTGTTCTCCCGTTGCTCATGACCATCAGGCATGCTTTGCCTCCCTATGCAGAAAATGACCTCTGAAATCCCATCTGGCTTTTTCTTTTCTTTGTTGCTACAGATACAAAGGGTTTAAAGGCAACTGCTCCTTTTCCTTCATTGAGCAGTTCAGAGCCCTCCACCAGTGCAATAAGTACTGTGAGATGCTGGGCTTGAAATCCCTCCGAGCCTCTCACCAGAAACAGAGGAAAGCAACAGCCATGAAAAGCAAAACCCTTCCAAACTCATCATCTATGAAGAAAATAGTGCCCAAGAAAGCCCGAGAACCTAGAGACTTCATTGCTTCAGAGCACTGAGTTGCACTGTCCCACACTCTGGAACCTCCTCCTGAGGACCTGTAGTAGTGATGGGCACCAATGACCTGGGGGGGACAGCTTCAGGCTTTTGCCTCCTGATGTAATCCTGGAGTCACCCTCATGCTGATGCCAGCAGCAAAGGAAGGAGCTGATTCCATGGTCGTGGCACTGGGGATTTAACACCAGGCAAGGTTTTGAAGACACACTAAGCCATCCGCCTGGAGTATCATACAGCCCTTCTATGACTTGGTGTCTGCACATTTTGAGACTGGACGTGTCACTGGAGAACATCTTCCCTTCCTTGTGTCTGTGTCTGTGAGCCTGTGGGTTCAGCTGCTTGAAAACATCCACGTGTTTCAGCTGCCACTTACTCCAAGTTTTGCACAGTGTTGTTGCTCAGGCTGCTATGGAGAATTTGTTTTCTTTCCCAGATCTTTGTGTATTGTAATCCCACTTTAATCCCCCCCTTGTAATTGTTTCTCCCACTTACATGTCTTTTAATACAAGACAAAGCCATTCATGACCAGAGGTATCTGTCTTCTTTCCCATTCCCCATTAGTTAGCATATTTAAGGTCCTCACTAAATGGTTTCATCAGTTTAAAGATGGGCAACTTGTGTGATTCTCCAGAGAATTCCTTGCTTTCCCTTCAAGCTTCCTTGAGTCCAAGTTAACCCCATGACAGCACTGCTGTAGGGCAGAGGTATGGACTCTGCATATTGTCACACAGCTACCAGCTGAAATAAACCTTTACCCACGGGGGTATTTCACCTCACAGCACTTCCAACTAGAAGTACCATGGCTTCTCTGTGTGGCTTAGAGACAGAACCTCTCTGCTGAAGAGAAATGATTCATCCAGGATGCCTAGGCCAGAGCTGGAGAAGGATACTGAACCCCATTGACCTGAGTGTAGCTTACATGGAGATTTGCAGGCAGAGGAGGGAAGGATGCACATCAGAGGATGCAGTGAGTACACTGGAGGTGGCTATAGAAGATGCCGTGTGTAACAGAGCACACAAACACTGGGCGTTGGCATGGTTCTGTGATTCTGAACCCAGACCACATTCTGGTTGTGTTTCTGGTTTGAGGGATTGGATGTCTGTTGTTTCTCTTCCAACTAGACTTGACATGTGTACTCAGAAGCTGATCTTCATCCTCTATTATTGATCTTGGAGAGCAGGTGTGGAAGTGGAGCCCTATCTAATGACAAGCCATCATGTTTGGATTAAATAGTCACACACCCAGACAAAATGGGTGCTCAGGACTTTATTGAATGCTGGGAGTAGACATGCTGCATTACTGATGTGTTAAACCACTGTGTGAGTCACCATCCCTGGATTCCTGTCAGTGTGAAGCCTAAATGGTGATAATGGCGAAGGCAAATAGGAACCCCTGGCAATAGGCTGCTTTAAAGCTGCCATTTCTCTGTTCTAGAACAAAAGCTTCAGCTCCAACAATGTCATGTGGTGCTGTTAAGATTCAGCCTTTGCCCTGGAGTTCAGCTACATGTGCAATTACACCGGGACAACTACACATTAGTAGCTCCCACAAGCAGAAGGTGCTTCACTGATTAACTCAGGTCAGAGCCATCTCCACAGGCTGCAAAACCTTGCTCCATTAGGGTTCTCATAGGGTTGTGCTTTGGTGTGTGTAAGGCAAGTGGAGAAGCAAGTCTTTGCCTCTTACTTGTTTGCTTGTTACCCTGTCCCCTGTCACCCCTGTCTGTCCTGTCCTCCTGTCTGTCTGCTTCCACAGCCAGGAGCTCCATGGCAGTGCAGGCCCCTCTTAAAACACCCTCAGTTCCCTACTGATGTGTCTGAGTCGTGATATGAAGAGAATTTACTAACACCAGGATATTCCTATCCATCTGTCCATCCAAGATCAGTATTTATTGCTCCTGACAGCAAAACTGGGGCAGGAAGGAGGAGGCCAGCGGGTCAGTGTGTACTGGAAGGATGGTGTCAGGGAGAGGGGACAGCAGTCTCTCTCAAAAAAGACTTTATATCCCTTGGAATGATGTTAGAGGGACCAGGAGCATGTGGTGCTCTCTTCTGTCCTCCCACTTAGAGAAGGACAGCTGTCTCTGTGGCTGGTGTTTGCCTGGGACAGCAGGCTTGGAAGAGGGAAGAAAGCAACAAGTCTTTCTTCTTCCTGTGGGGAGGAAGCTTTATCTTCTTCCTTTGGCAAGAGCTGCTCTGCAAAGTGACAAGCACTGCAAGGCAGAAGAAAGGTGGAGTCTAGGAGGTTCCCCCTCACTGCAAATCAGAGCACAGTGTTCTGTGAGCCTAAACCTTGGCTTATTCAATGGGATTTTGGCTTCCCAGGGCAGTGCTGGTGCTTGGCTTTCATTAAACCCCTTGTAAGCTCCTACAGATGCTTCCTACTCTTTGCAGTGTTTTCAGGAGGACTTCTATGAGAAACTGTGAGCATTCCCAAGCTGGCCTTGTGTTCCAGAGGTAACCAGAACCCCACTGATTCCCATGGTTCCAGAGGTAACCAGAACCCCACTGATTCCCATGGTGATTCCTTGTGTTACTTGTGTGCTTTGCAGCTTTGCTCAGAAAGGAAAGGGCTAAGTCATGTTGACATGCACGTAGGAAGGTCATTTATTCCTCGTAGTGGTGGAGAGCCCATTGCTGCTGCTCACGCCCTGCTCTGAACTGATGTCTTGTCCACCAGTAGCTATTTAGTGTGATAATGGCGTTTGATAGACTGGACACAAACACCATTGTCACACTCCACAGCTCTGGAGGTAGGAGATCCTTAGGCCATGGAAGGAGTGCTATAGGTACATGGCAGACCTCAGCGGGGGGCTTCAGAGACCTGCAGAGCATAAAGACCATGGTTATGCAGATTTACACCCGGTACAGCAGGAGCCTCATCAGGGAGGAATCCTGATGCTAGAGTTTGTATTTGTTCTCCCTATACTTGTTTTTACCAGCATTTCAGAGCTATGGGTATTCAGTTATGTGTCACCACCACGTCTGAGTACTGCAGGGAAGCAGAGAAGAGAAACAGGAGCACAGGGAAGGCAGGAGAATAGAAACCAGAGCTTGGGTGAGAGTAGTGGCCTTTGTATCTTACTCCACCATGTATCCCCTTCTCCCTCAGTCTATAAAGACTGTCAGCCAGTGTGAGCATCCGTGCAAGATCACACTGGATATTAAGTGGAAGAAACACTGACCTGTGCAGGGAGAATGTAGCTTTGGGAAGGTGCAAGTCAGCTAGTGAGTGTTCACTAATAGGAATAGCAAAGGAGTTTTGGTAACTAACTGATAGCTGTAACGAAGCCTGCTGTCTTGAAGCCTGCTCTCTTAAAGGAAGCTGCCCTGGTGCTGTGTCACACAGAGATTCAGCTCACTCTGTTCTTCAGCATCAGAAGCCAAAGGAGCACAAGTACAGTACACCGCTCTCTAATTCATCCCAACATCAGTGTTCTTTCCCCTTACTTTTCCTCAGACACGTTTTACTCAGCTTCCTCTCTTCAGCAGAGCAGTGATCAGGTAAGATGCTACTTAATCCCTGAGGAGCAGCCTGACAGGTCTTGGCAGGTACAGTGTGAGAAGCTTCACTGGGAAATGTGTGTGACAGCAGGTATGGTGCAGCTGCAAGCAGGCACCTTTCTAGTTCTGCAACTGCATGGACGCTTCCAGCAATTCAACAGGAATCTTCCCAAGACAAAAGGTAATAAAAGAAAGGGAATGGCCACTAGTTTTTAGTACTGCAGTGGAGAAAAAACCCTGGCACAATGGGGAAGTTACAGGCTGGTGCAGGGAGAAAGCAGAAACATCAGAGAAGAGGAACTAAATCCGCTTTTCCTTCTCTTCTGCTACTCATTGGTATAAAGAGGGTGACTGGAATGTTCTTGTTGAGCAGATAGCTGTGAAGAACAAGGAGGTTTTTCAAGAAGCATCTTGATGGATCCCAGAACCTGTCCCTTCTGTATATCCAGACGTGGAAGATTCCTGTATCCCTGCTGAAGTGTGACCACACTTGCGGTCAGCTCAGCAGTCACAATTCACCTGCACTGCTGATTTTTGTTCCTCCATTTAGCATTTCCCTCTCCTCACAGGAATTGAGCACAGGAAGCACTTACCTGAGCCAGCTGCCGAGTGATTCTCTGGTGTGTCCTTAGGGCTTGGCAGGACTGAGGTGCTGTTGCAGCTTTGGGGGGTCCTTGGAGGAACTGGGTTCCTTTTGGGAGTCACCAGCAGTGGGGAGCTGTGGAAAGCTCTGCTCCCAGGGGCCACTTTTCCCTTCCCTTTATGGGATCCTGAGCTTTGAAAGTAAACATTTCCTTCTCTCTCTGATAAGTCCTATTAAAATATTGATCTGGGGGAGGGAGACGGCCCTCACTGCAAGGGCCAGAGTCACCTTTAGTCACACTGAGCAGGGGAAAGAGCTCTGCAATCCCCATCTGCTCTGTCCCCTCAGAGAGAGCATAGGAGGGTAGGGAAAACTGCAAAACCCAGGGTATTTCCAGCTGCCTGTTGTGCTTAACCCTGATGGAGCATGGTTAGTCTTCAGCTTAGATGCTTACCTCTTCCAGGGAGATGATTTCATCAGCACCTCAGATCACAGGGCTAACTTACTGTCCATGCTGGGCTTTACCAATCTGTTTCCCATTGTTAATGCTGATTTACTGCCTTTTCTGCCCAGGAACTTTTAGAACCCAAAGAGGCTGTCGTGTTTTTAGTGTGGTTCACTTTCCAGCTGTGAGATGGGGGAAAAATCTGGCTTTAGCTGAGCTGATCTGGACACCGATGGCAAACCAGGTATTACACACACGTTTCAGGACCTGTATTTGTAGGTTCTTAACAGTCTTATCACTGCACATCCGGTTCAAGAGCAGCTTTTCCCCTTAGAAAACCTCCATACTTTACAATTCTCAGGGATTTAATGGCACAATTTCATAACCTTAGTTGTAAAAGCCATGTCAGCGGCTACTGTAGATGACAGGACTGTACCCTTTCCAATTCTGATGCAGAAAGACTTGCATTAGCCCAAAGCACAGATGAATAATGCTGCCATGGATCTCCTTAGAATTCCTCCTGAAGCAGGCCCTGCTTTGCAGTTGGCACTGTGGGTTTGGGGGAAAAGTCTCCCATTAGGGACCTGTGCATTCACACAGTGTAAAGCTGACAGAATTACTAGTAGCAGTTGCCCAAAATCAGCCGAGAAAGGCTAAAATGTGCTCCTTTGAATGGCAGAGGCAACACCACTTACTTCTGGGTTGTGCTTCAGGACAAAATGGCAACGGGTAGGTGAAGCACTGCCCTGGAGCTGGGGCTCAACAGCCTTGCGACACTGGGTCCTGCTGCAGTTTGGCTCCAGTTCTTTGCAATTGAATGCCAAAGGATTTGGAAATTCCTGAAAAAAAAAAAAAAGAGAAGGGAACTGGTTTGTTGAAATGTTACGAAAGGTGACACAAGGACAGATAGCGCAACACACGTTGCACAGGCATCCCAGCACCAAGTGCTTCCTTTGAAATCCATAGATATGAGCCCAAGTGGAATGATCTGACTTGGAAGCTCAGTCTGACTTAGAAGCTGGCAGAGGCCTCCAAAGGGCCCTAAATGGTGCCGTGGTTCCATTTTATGAGCATAGCTCCTGGTGACCAAGGTGTCACTATCCAGAGGGTGAAATTTCATCTATAGGAGAGTTCCCTCTGGTCGTTTTCTTACGTAAAATGTGGAGGATAGAAAGAGTGAAACAGAAACCTGAGGAATGGAGCCAGTTCTGTGTGCCAAGAGGGAGAGCACAGCTCCCAAGCTGCTTCCCACAGGGGCTATGTTAGGAAGCTTTTCATTACAATCAGGGAGAAGCTGTAAGGGTTGTGAGCGCTATAAATCCCTGTGGAAGAGTAAAATCCCCAGCCAAGGGAGCCCTGATCCTGCCATCCTCTGGAACCCTGATATTTAACAGTTCTCCTTCCCAGGATTCCAGCCTCAGAACTGTTGCACTGATGGCCATTCCCAAATGAGAACTCGTATCCATGTGGCTTTCCTCCAGCTCTAGCGGTATTGAGCACAGAATCAATACTCTTGAACTGATTTGGTTTGGCTGTTTCATCTGTGGAAAAATCCCGTGTCAGCCTGCCCGTGGTGGGATGGCTTCCTTGGATCCAGACGTCCAGACAGAGCTGGGCTGGAGGTCCAGGCTGCATCCTGCCACATACTCAGCATTGTAACTGAATTCGTCCCTTCACTGTGAGCTGTTGGTTTCAGTGAATCCATGCTGACTTACATCAGTTTAGGGCAATAACCACGGAGCTTTTAGAGGGAATTGCATCGGGAGTTCAAATGGGCAGAGCTGGTGTTTATCCCAGATTACTGCAGTATTCAAGGGGCATCAAGCACTCAAGGAAGCCTCTTTACCACTGCTAATGCCACAATGTGATCGACAAAGGCGAGGCATATCTAGTGCTGGGCCAGTGGAGATCATGGAAGGGGGGATGCTGTGACCCTTGTAAGTCAATGGCCAGCAGTTAAAGATTACCTGTTCTGGTCATTGTGGCTACTCGATGGCGAAAGATTAACTCGGAGCAGCATAAAGTAGAGCAAAGGTGTTTAACCTGGCAACCGTGATCCCTTCTGCTTGCCACTGGGGCTCAGTAAACGGGATCGATTGGAGTTTCCCAATCGTGGAACTCGGGACATCAGTTCCCGATCGTAACCACTCGCCACGGGGCACATCCCGCACGCAGCGCTGGGGCTGAGGATCACGTGCAGATGGCGGGGGTCAAGTCTGACTGGCAGCGTCCATCCATCACAGTGCTGTTCCCCAGGGGGTAGGATTGAAGCGATCCTGATGTGGGCTAACAGCTCAGCCCGGTGTTGATGTACGTACTACAGGGGATAGCAGCACCCTGTCCTGCTGCATAGCGAGCTCTCTTGCTCTGCAGCCGTTAAATGCAAGGGGTTTAGTCAACGCGCCACAAAGGTCCATGATCACAGAAACATAAGCCAACTTCTGCCTCATCCGTCACTTCCCTCTGAACCCCATCAGGCGCTGACACGCTGCACGCAGGGGATACACAAGGTTTAAGCTCAGAATCGCAGCTAAAGGCCGGCCGTTTACTTTTGGAATCCAAATCCCAGTGGGATCACTCGCTTGGCTCAGCAGTGGCCCGTGCCTCAGGAAGACAAGAAGCCCCTCTCAGCATCCGCTGCCTCCTCCGGTCTATGCACTGAGTCACTTGGATGTCCCCGGGCCCTCTGCTCATGGGTGTTCTGTACCCCCTCTCCTCTCGGCACAGGGGGGTTACACACCGCAGCCGCGGCACAGCCACCACCCTGAGCAGGAGCTGCCCATGGAGCAGGCTCAGCGCAGCGTGAAGGGCTTTGGTGCCGACGAGGACAAGCAACCTCATGGATTTACAGGTAAAAACCCCTTTTAAATCCTCTTTATGGGCTTGGTAAGACTTTAGTGGTCAGAAACGCTGCCGCCATTCCCATTGCCATTCCTATTGCCATTCCCTATTCCCCATTCCCATTGCCATTCCCTATTCCCCATTCCCATTGCCATTCCCATTGCCATTCCCTATTCCCCATTCCCATTGCCATTCCCTATTCCCATTCCCATTGCCATTCCCATTGCCATTCCCTATTCCCCATTCCCATTGCCATTCCCTATTCCCATTCCCATTGCCATTCCCTATTCCCATTCCCATTGCCATTCCCTATTCCCATTCCCATTCCCGTTCCCATTGCCATTCCCTATTCCCATTCCCGTTCCCGTTCCCATCCCCATCCCCAGGACAGGCGCGTGCAGCATCCCCATGTGCCTACGGCAGCCGGAGGGGCCCTGGCGCTGCCCGAGGGGCGGGGCCCAGGGGGCGCTCTGGAACCTTCTGGAAGGGGCCGGGCAGGTGCTGAGGCGGCTCTGCCTGAGGCGATGGCCGCCCCACAGCGGGAAGGAGAGGAGGGGCCCCGTGCGGGGTGCAGCGGGGTGCTGGGGAGCACTGCACCGCGGCAGTGAGTGAGAGCTGCGAGGGCAGGGGGGAATGGGGGCTTCGGCCCCGCCGCCTCCCTCCCTTCCCCGTGCTGCAGGTACAGCCTCCAGGTTGCGCAGCCAAAAAGGATTCGGGGGAGATTTTCACACCCTTCTCCTTGGTTTTGCTGCTCGGATGAGGAGTGCAGGTGTGAAAGCGGGGTGAAAAGTGATGGGTTTCTAAGGCCGTGTTGGTGCTTTAAACCTTTCCCTCCTCTGCCGCCTTGACCTGGGAAAAGAGCCATGGGCGTGAAGTAACAGCCAAGGAATAGCCAGGAGACGGGCGGTTCGATGTGCCTTGGTAGGCTTTGTGCTGGGTTTTTCTTGCCTGTGCTCCTCTGCACCTCTTCCCTCTCAAACAGGGCAGTGTAAGGGTGATAGCGACGGCGTGGGGACAAAAAGGCCTCAGTGTTTTAGGTGACATTGCAGATGGTTTCCTTGCTAAGCATCAACTTTGCACAGATAAAGTGTGTACTATTAGGCTAAATAACTGTTACTTAACCTAACAGTTAACACCTACCACCCTATGCAGCATGACATTGGATTTCATGTGGCTTTTCCCGCCCTGGATGCCACAGCTCTCCCAAAATCCCCATTTCAAGACCTCAATGATAACGAATCTGCTGTTTGTTTCTCTTCCTTGCCTGTCGCTATGGGTGGTGGGTGATCCCACGGGCAGAACGTGTCCTGGGGCAGGGTATGGGCAGCACAGCTGGTCTGCATTTGCTGAGATTAATGCAGGTGCTGAGCATGAGGCACCCTCGGGTCTCTGTGTGTCAGAAGGATTTCTGCAGTGTAAAAAGAAAGGATTGAAGCAGGGAGAAAAGGGAGGAAACAGCTCCTGCTAAAGCACTGGGGAGCTCTCAAGTGTTCCTCTTTGTTCTAAGGCTGAAGAATGCTGTGGGGAGGATTCAGTGAGCAGGAGCTGGCTCTCAGCTGGACACCTCAATGGCTATAGCATCTGTCAGCTATGAGCAGCTCACGCGTTGCAGGCAACTGGCACATAGAAACGGGCGGCGAGTGAAACATGGATCCTGAGCTCAGCGTACACCGGAGCAGCAGCAGGTCCTGGCCTAGCACTGGGGACTGCAGCATTAACACTGAAAGAGGAATTGCTCATTGAGGCTGCAGAGGCAGAGAAGGGAGTGCCCCAGGTGATTGGGCAAGCAGGCAATCAATTAAGGCTTCATCAAGATCAGGTGTGAGGGGATCTTTCTGGAGTGTTCAGTCGGCAAAGTGATAGCCATGTGGCTGGACCCTCACAATAGCCTCTGGGGAGGCGCAGGGGCCTGGATGTACTGGACAGCAACAGCTCTGGGCTTCTGGAAGCTGCTCTTCAGGACTGACTCAGCTGGAGGGAGTGACTGCCACTGACAAGTAAGTAGACTTCTAATCCTTGGTTGTAATGGGATGGCTCTGAGGGCTCAGCACTTAAAACAGGAGGTGGTGTTCCTTTGGTATGGATTAAGCTTGATGCCCTTTACGGAGGGGGCATTGGTGGGAAATGAGCTGGATCAGCAGTAAATCGCCAGGCAACTTGTGTCCCTCCAATCTTTGTGTTGTCTTGAAGGTATTGTTAATGGAACCGGAGGTGGCCTTGTGCCTGGGGCTCTGGGTGGCCTGGGCACGTGTGATGGTGCCTGGGTCCATGCTGCTGCTGTGGGGTTTGTGCTCTGGGTGGAGGGAGCTTTCTGGAGGAAAAGGACCCAATGAAATGTGCTTTTCAAAGTCAGCTCTTGGAATTGGGGTTTTGCACTGACTAAGCTGTGTGGCACAGAACTCCCAAAGGCAGTGCTGATGGACTGGGCTAAGGCATTCATGTCCCAGCAGTTTAGAAGGTCTGGGTTTTGCTAAATATCTGTTTGATGTTTGTGTGAGCAGCCGCAGCGTATGCGTTGATAGAACTTAACTGTGTGTGGAACAGGAATGTTGGCACTGGAGTCCCAGCAGCTGAGATAAAAGGTGATGATCTCCTCACTTGTGCCTTCTTGACTGGAGGCTTCCCTTTCATGGAGGGGTTAGAAGGCAGCTACGGAGTGCCAGACCTCATGCAGGCATTGAGGGATTGTCAGGCAGAACACGCTCTGTCATGTTGTGGAGCTGGGTGAGAGTCTGGATCTAGGTGGGTGTTGCTGAGGAGCTGCTGTGTTTGGAGGTGCAGCCCATGGCTGAGCATTGCTCTGGCTGAGGCAGAGCTGGTTTGTCACACGTGGTGAGGCACATTGAGGTCCTGAGGTCCATGGTGCCCCCTGTGGTCCCCAGGACTGGTTGCCTTGTCCAGCAGGCAATGGTGGATGCTGTGTGTGGAATTCTCTATTGGTGCAGCGCCCTACAACTCTGAGGTTCTTTACATTGATATTTGATGTGAGTACGCTCAGCAAAGCTTCAGGACATGCTTGTGCTGCTGTTTGAGATCAAAGAACATCCCATCCTCTACCTCACCATGAAATAGCTGCTGTGAAAGCAAAAACGTTCAATAATGGGGTTGTTCCTTCTGTGTGTTCATGCAATCCATAATAACATTGACATCTGGTTGCGTTTGCAAAAGGAGCTTGAGCTCAGTG